GGCCTGCTGGCTCTTTTCCTCTGTTTCTGAACTTCCGCGCCCTCCCTCCCTCCCAGAGTATTTTGTAAATGATGTCATTTAATGTCCTTTTGATTCTGACTAGATATGGATAACAGCAAGGATGAAAAAAGTAGGACGCTGTGTGCAAGCTCAGAAGAAGGGCTGAAAGCCCGAGGTAGGTGCTGTGGTCCCTTGCTGTTCTGTGGTGTTTGTGTCACCCTCTGTGCCACTTAACCAGGCTCGGTCACTTGCTGATGGCAGTAGACCATGGTGCACTGGAAGAGAGGGCAAAAGCACAACCAACCCCTCAAAACAGGGGTTCATTGTCTTTAAATTCTAGTAAGAGTCATTTCTGTAGGCCACAATTACTAGCAGGCTAGCACTGTTGCCTTGTGTTGCCCTAAGGAAAAGAAAAAAGGAAACGAAAGCGGAGCAGAAGCAGATCCTCATCTGTTTCATCCACATCGTCTTCTAGCAGTACATCCACGTCTTCCTCCTCATCACACTCATCGTCAAGGTCATCTTCCAGTAGTAGTAGAGGTAAGCTATTCCACATTTTCCAGTTTTGATAGCACTCCTGAGAGCATTTAAAGCTTGTTTTAAAAGTGGCAAAGCCACCACAAAGTGACAGCGCAGAATACCAGTGCTGCTTGTTCAGGGTGTTTCTCTCATAACCCTTTCCTACTGTGTGTAAAGGTGCCACTTGACTCACAGTGCAACGTTCTTGTGTTAATTTGAATTACTTGAAAAGAGAAACTGCCATTTAAATGTATGTTACATGGTAACAGTGTTATATTGTTACCATATATTTGTTACATATTCAAAACACAGATCTTTTTTTGCTTCACCAGTCTATCTAGACCAGAGTTGTGGATTTGATTTAGCCCTACTTTGGTCTTAACATTTCAAGCGTTTAACTTTGAGGATTCACGTGAAGCTGGCACATCTGCAGAATCAGTAAATCAGTTATTTTCAGTTTTCCATGTTAGTCCAGTAAGTGGTAGTAATTTAATGTGTTCTCTTTCTCAGGGTTAGTTCAACCTGTGTCAGTATATATAGCTGAACTAAAGTATTTTCTTCATATGCTTCACATTTCTCTGTGTCTTATCTGTAAAACAAATTACTTTTTCAGAATGCTAAACTTACAGAGTTCTATTTTGTTTATTTTTTTCCTTGATTTTAGATTCTCCTAAGTCTAAGTCAAAGAAGAAGAAAAAAGAAAAGCACAACAAAAAGGTATTGTATAGGGTGGTGGTAGCTGAACTGATAAATGAACACTTGACATTATACAAAAAGAGAAATAATTTGCCAGTCATTGCTGCTCCAGCTGGAGTTTAGAGTAGTCTCTGAAGAAAAGAGAAGTGGGGAATCTTGATAACTTTATAGAATTTGTTAGAATAAATTATTTGTAGTCAGTAAGAGAAGCAAGTGGTAAATTCTTGCTGTTGTAATTTTTCTATTCCATTTTCCATTCCATTTATTTTATATATTGGGGTTACTTCAAAAGACAGAGAATGGGGAATCAGACATTTTCTGTTCCTTGGAGTCCCAAGGATGCTGTGGTGCATTACTTTCTACTAGCTGTCCAGCAGTGGTAATGGCAAACAGTAGTGGCTCTTTTGACTTGAGTGGCCTTGAGAGATCCTTGTGGGTTTGGGGATTTTTGCCCTTGTTAGTCTGTAAGCATAACAGCATATGTCTTATTATTGTAGAAAAGGAAAAAGGAGAACAAAATGAAGAAAAAGAAAGAAAAGAAGAAAAGGAAAGAGAAAACAGGACCTGTCCAGCTTTCCAAGGTATGCTGGTCTGACTGTGAAGCCCTGTTTTATTTCTCACCTACATACTTAATCTTTCCTGTCATAGAAATGTTTATGACGTCACCAGTTTGGTCATCAACCAGTAGAAACCTCCTTCTGTTGTTGTGGACAGTTCGGAATTATAAAAGATGATTGTCTTTAATTTTGCATAGGATTTGTAATGGTACAGAACAAAGCTTATGTCTTTTTAACGTGTGATCTCATTTCAGTTCTTCAAAAACAAAAAGAAGAATGAAAACTACAGCATGATAACTGGAAAGAAAATTAAGATGAAAATAAAGAAGACTAAGGAAGATATAGAGGTAAGAAATAAGTAATCTAAATGTCCCTAATAAAAAATACTGTATCTTTTAATATTTTTCTAATAGTAGTTTTTGTAGAAGAGTGGGTCTTGCAGTTAGGAGTTGCTAACCGAGCATAGCTTCTAGTGTGGCTGAGAAATTTTAATTCATTCTTTTGGCAGGCTTTATGTTATGAAGGGGCTTGGAATACTCAGCCTTGAACATATAAACCAAAGGATGCTTGTGCAGGTTCTTAGCATTTCAGCCTCTAATAATTAGCCAGTTTGTAGCTTTCTGTTGTACTGGTGTTAATTGCACTCATCTTCTTTCAGACTCTTGTGATCTGTTGTGGTAATTGCTACTGTTTTTCTAACACATGCAAGACTAGCTTTTATTTAGAGAGGAATTTAAAAAAACACAGTAGTAGTATTAGGACCACATGCTCCTGCATTTTTTCAGAGCAGTCAGATGTTTTTGCTGAGATACCCAGGGAAACAAATACCATGAATAGTGTTGTGTGCTATTGCTATGGATGTTTGGACTCAGCACTTAAATAATACCTTCTCCCTTCAACAATTTCCACACCTTAGGGTGACCTGCAGAGGGCTCTGGTGCTGGTCTGGAAGTGTTATTTCTATGAGGTATCCAGCTTGGCAGATTCTGGTTCAGCCATAGTAGTTTGTTCTACAGCTACCAAAGCAGTCCTGAGCATTTTGAGTTAAATTTGACTGAAAACACATAATCTTCTCTCTGTGACACCAAAGTGTGTGCTAAATTATGCTAAATTCTTGCTAGTTCTGTTCCAGTGATCTGCTTGCTGTGATACTTGATTTCAAATATTTGATGCTGGTCCCTTTTTTGATTGATGCCTGTGGTCTTGCTGAATTGAACAACATCCATTCTTTACAATATTTAAAGATTCAATAATGTTTTTATAAAAAACGCTGGAATTAACTGGTTGGGCCATCTTTTACATGAAGAAAGAACCTAAGTTCAGGGTTCTGTTATGCTGCATAAGCTGCTGTTTATGCATAGGGAAAAAAATATACCTCCCAAAGCACAGGACTTACTCTGGGTACAGTGAAAGTTGCTTCAGCCACCAGAGAGGAGCATCTGCTCTGCTTGTGAGTTCCCTCCTGGGCAGGCTGTGAGCTGCAGGATGACAACCCACTGGAGCCTCCTCAGGGAGCCACTTAGGAAATGTCTCATGGAATAGTGACAGCTTGTCTCCCCAGTACCCATTGCCTGGCACTTCCCCTGGGCACCCACGCCTCACTGGTAGCTAGTTAGACCCAGCTGTGTCAATGGCACTTGCTTTGGGATGTGAAAACCCCACAGAAAACAGGGATCTGTGGCCTTGCTCCTGAGTACAGGTCTGTTCAGCCACTGCCTCTGCTTGTCTGCTCTGCAGAGAGACCGGAACCGTGCACAGCTCCTGGAATTTCTGAACTCTGCCTTGTAACGGGAAGAGTGCTCACCAAGGATTGGTAGATGTACCGAGCCAACCATCATCCTAGCAGATCACTAAAGGGAAACTCAGGGAAAAGGACACCAAGTTGGACAAGACCAGACCCTCCTACAGAGAAGAAAGTTGGAATGTCCTTTTTTAATGGCAAAACAAAGAGTAGCTAATAACTTGTTAATGGAGATCCATGTCCTCCTTTTAAGATCCTGAGGTAATAGCCAGTCTGTGGTGTTTCAGAAAAGCCCAAGTGTGTGTTGTTCACAATGATAAGAAATGACACACTGAAGTCCAGCAATGTAATTTCTATCCTAACTGCATGCAGAATGCACTCTTGATTTCAAATGTCTTAATTTTTCTAGTAGTTTAAGCAGAGTATTTGTAAATGTCTGTTTGAAAGATGAGGTGTTTCTTTTATGTATATTTTTTTCTGGTAGTGGTTATGCTTATCCTAAAGAGCAAATTTACCTTTGTAAATAGAACATCCTTTTTCATAAATGATTTTTTTTTTTTGAAAGTTCATTCACTAATATGTTATTTTGTTTCAGAATTTGAGATGCTGTGTTTCTCTGGACAGTTTATTGCTCTCTCTCATTAGAAAGTGTAACAGCAAAATACTCTAGAGCAATAATGGTAACAAATTATTTTTATCCTAAAATAGAAGCAGGAAAGGTCTCTGGTTTTGTTTATCTGAATCAGTTATTCAGCTCATAGCAGATAGTTTACTCTCCATATCTGATGTTGCAGTTCCTAGACCAGAAGTTCTGGAGTTGTGGCCTGCTTTTCTGATCCTGTGAGCCATGTTACAAATCTTTCTCTCTCTGAAGTGCAGCAAGACACATCCTATCGACATACCTTAGTCTGATGGACAAGAGCTGTGGAATGGTGTTGAGGCAGGCAGTGGCAGTGACTTCACAGGTCTGTTGACAGTCCACTGTGAGATGAGACAGGGCATCAGGAGCCCAGCACAGCTTGTGGGTGTGCCAGTGTGGTAATTTGCTCAGTGCCTGCCTTCTTTCCAAACCTTGACTCTTGGTTACCCAGCAGGCCCCTTTGTACATAACCCCGCTGTGGGAATTCCACTTGAATCAGGTGCTTGTGAATCAGGTGCTCCTCAGGGGCTGCAGTTTAGGAATGCCTGAAGGAAGGACTCGAGGGGAGTTGACTTTGACAAGAACATCAAGTGTACAGCAGAGTGGGGGGAGTTCATTAAAGAGCAAATGGAAAACTGTGTCTGTGTCTGCTACGGTGTTTTGAAGTAAACTTGAAGATTTATACAATTGCTCAAGGGATGATTTTATAACTGTTTTGATGTGCAAAACCTTCTGAAGATGCTAGAATCTTCTCCTTCCCCTAGTTTTGTTTTGAAGCATTTTGTAGTTGTTGCAGAGATGTAACTCTAAAGACTAAAGCCCTGATCCAGCAGAGCAACTCTTTACATCCTTATGAACATAACACTTGCAAAAACATAGGCAAGAAATGGAGTTTCCTTGACTTTTAATCCAGCAATGGAAACGGTTTTTTTGAAAGCACTGTACTGAAATGTTACTGGGGGGGAAAAAACAACCAAAAAAGAAAGCCCCTTTTATTTATCATGGGGATTATGTTTTGATTTATGCTACTTTGGTATTTTCTAGCTAGTGATGTCAAAGCATCTTGCCCACATAAGCAGCTTTTATCTCTGGACTTTGCATAACACAGTTAATCCCAAACACACTTCAGAAGACAACATCCTTCCTGTTCCCTAGGTTATATTTTATGTAAAGATAGTTTAATTTTGGAAAACTTGGTGTGGAGTAGGGAGTAGAAATTTTGAAGATGTAAAGAAAATAGGAATGGGAAACGCAGAGGTCACAGTTGAAAAGAACTGCATTGGTTGGGAGCTTCATGCTTAGTTTAAATAATTATTTTTTGTTGCCTTGGTCAAGATCATAAAATTCCTGCCCTGTTCCACATTAGTATGAAAAAGGCAAAGGGCCTTTAGTAAGATGATTCGGACTGTTCTTCCTTTCGGGTTTTGGTAGTTGTCTTTCATGGTACAAAAATCAGTCAAACTAATCCTTCTTAAAAAACAAAGCTTTTTTTTAGTTTGTGTTCAGGACAGAGAAATTTTTTGTTTACTTTTCTTGACATGCTGGATATGCTTTGGTGATGCTTTAAAATATTTCTGTGCCAGCATTTATTTCTAAGCTATCATTTCTTCTAGAAAGCCAAGCTGCTTAAACTCTGTGGCAGTGATTCTGCTTTATTCTCTCCTGCCCAGTCAGTTACAAGCGCTCTCTGAAACTTCCCAGCAGTTGCTGCTTTTCTAAGCCTCCTATTCTACCCATGTCCATGTAGATTCTCAGGCTTCTAAAGAGGCTTGAATCATGTTGCATCCTTCCCTTCTCCGTCTTTCCCCACAAGCACTGAGACCCTGGGCGTCTTCTTGGGACTGAGCGTCTTTGAGGCTGCTGTTGGGAAAAGGCCAAGAGATTCCAGTCCTCCCTAGTGAGCACAGACCCTTACAGCCAGAATAATTTTCCATGCTTGCACCCTCAGGGAAGAGGGTCATTTCACTAAAGCATAGCTTCTTGATACTGTTTCAGATCCCTGTAGTGGCAGTTGCACCAGACTGAACCAGATGAGAAGGTTACAGCAGTTACAATGTGGTGAAAATCAGGTTGAGAAATTTGCATGAGGGAACTGTGAAGGAGCGTGGGATGTTAACCTGATACACACATGGCTGATAGAGAGACTTGCTGCCAGGTCTACCAAAAAGTTCATGTCATGGGCAAAGGTGAAGGCTGGAACAACAGAGCTGTGGAAAAGGTGTGAGGTAGGGCTGGAGGGAGACGGCTGCCATCAGAAGTCATGGAGTGGGGCAGGGGCCAGATGATGAGGCAGGGGCTGCAGAAGCTTACTTGGCTGGCAAGTTTAGGTTCTTCCTACAATGCTGAATAATAGAATCTTTCTATATAGATGTGAAACCTGCCTTTTGTGTGAGTGTGTGTGTTACAGTCTTCCCTGTCATACTCACCTTCTGTGTTCTGCACAATTTTCCATTGTGGGAATCATGCAGAGCTCAACTGAACTTTTTTAGCTGCAGAATTTTCAGAAACAGAAGTCACTGTTGTGGGAAGGAGCGGAAGGACACATTCTCTGAGCTGCTGCTGCCATGCCTGTCTTCCTTGGTACTGTTTAATGTATTGTATCCCAGCCCGTTTTTGTGGGCAGTGCAATTCTTTGTTACTCATTTCCTTTAGAGATGGCTTGAACTTCACTCTTTTGCCCACACAAAAGCGTAGCAGAAATGAAAAGCTGAGGAAATATTGATAAATGCCACTTTGACTTGGAAGTACCTGGAACCAAGGTGTCTCATCCTGAGCAAGGCCTGCCATTTTGGTAACAGTTCAATATACAGTGTGGTGAAACTTGGGCAGGTTATGCTCTTTAGATGTACCTGGGGAGGAATGTATCATTCCCAGTCATCCTCTGCAGCAGGAAAAACAATGAGCTCTACATGCAGGGGAAGAGGCAAGGTCAGAGAGGCTGAAGTGATTTGCCCTTGATGGCTGGTGGAGCTCTGATGTCCTTTCCTATGTTAAACACACTCCTCATGGTCTTTGCTGCGTGGGTCTTTGCTGTGTGTATTTAGAAACAAGTTTCCAAAGTTCTGGTTCAACACTCAAGGTTGGGACCTCCACTGTCATTTGAGGACTCTGTGGAACTGCTGAATTTTATGTCATACTAGGTTTCCCTGCAGGAATGAGGTTCTGGGCACACATGAGAATCCTGCAGTTTGCACTTGGTTATATTTGAAGCTGTAGGGCAATGAGTTTTTGAGGACCTGCTTCTTAAAATTGTTGGCAAGCACCCATCTACCTAGTTCCACCTCTGTAGAAAATTAATCATCAAAACTGCCCAGTGCAGAGACTGTGATTTATTTGCCTGTTGACAACAGGTATTTTTTCTCCCTGCCTTAAATTGTGCTTCAGGAGTATGAGTCATGTAGTGTTGTCTAAGGGACGAGCAGGACATGGTGCTGAGGGGTCTAAGGAAGCCTTTTGAGAGCCCTTTGGAGCAGCGTGAAGAATGTCATTACTCCCCAGCCTGAGAGGCAAAGTGTTTGTGATGGCAGCTGCTCCCATGCCAGTGTGCTGGCATGGTGCCCTCTTCCTCTCAGGCACTGGACACCAGGCTAAAATACAGAGGTAAAATGCTACAATCTGTGGATGATCCTGGCCAGGACCTTAACAATTTATAATTTTATGAAGAGTCCAGTGACAATGTAGACAGTGTGTTCTTGTAGGCCTCTTTCTCACTGTGTTCACTTTGCTCTCCATTCGTGAGCTGCTCTAGAGGTGACAGAACAGTGGTATGAGTGTGAGGAATCTGCATTTGTCTGGAGAGGCCTGATTAGGAAGCTGCTGCCTGTTCCCTTGGACGGCGCTGGAATATCTGCCGGTAGGTGGCAATGCTGTCCAGCTGGAATGTCACCGAAATTCCACTTCTTTTTTTTTTTTTTTTTTTTTTTTTTTTTTTAACCTTTGGACATTGGCTTTGCACTTTCTGAAAGTCTGAAACCCTATAATTAGCCTGCAAATACCTAATTATGGTTATGGGGAACATGTGTTAATACTGTCCTATGAATTTAATCCAGTCTTTGTTCCTTTCTTGCCCTTGGCTGTGCTGAGGACAGTCTCTTCTGCTGGTGCCTGTGTGCCAAAGGCAGAAGGAAGCCTTTAACTTCTCAGTAGCTGAATGCAAAGGGAGTAGGTTGCTGAGAGCCAGCAGGGGCCTGGAAGGTGCACCACCCTACCTGGGGCTGCTGAGTTCTTCAGAAACTGCACTCTGCTCTTTTCCATCTCCTAAATATCAGTGTCAGAATATAGAAAGAAAACTCACCTACATAAGGAGTATTTCAGTGTCACTGCTTCATAATATGTCTGGTTATTTAAATAGTCTTCAGACCAAATTAAGTACAATCTCTTGCTTTAGGCAACTTGACACCTGAAAGAATCAGGTTGGAAAAGTACTGCAGATGGACTGTGACCTGTGGAGGCCTCTGAGGATACACCATTGTGAACACTAAACAGATGTAATAGTAATTACTTTCTGAGAGCAGATACTCTGATGTCAAAAGCTTTTTCCTCACTTTGGTGTCTCTGTTCCTGAGTTAGATTTCATTTATTTGGTAAAGACAACATGTGTCTGTGGCTAAAATATAGAGGTAAAATGCTATAATCTGTGGATAATCCTGGCCACAATTATAACAATTTATAATCTTATGAAGTGTCCAGTGACAATGTAGACAGTGTGTTCTTGTAGGCCTCTTTCTCACCTTTCTTGTGCTTTTTAAGATCTTACCTGGTAAGGATTTTCCCTTAGTCTGAGAGTATCTTTGCGCGGCAAATGCACAGAAAATACATGGTGGTCACTGGGAGACCTGAGCCCAAGACCCAGTGTTCAGGGCCAGCAGAGCATCTTTCTGATGTAAGCCAGCTTGAGTTTGTCTGACCAGCAAAGGGAACAAGAGGTCCCTTGTGCCAACAGCCCACACACAGACAGCAGTACCAGGGAAAGGCAGGCACTGAAATTATGATGTCTTTGCCTGGCACAGGTGGGTGGAACTAAGGGAGGTCTAATAGCCCTTCCTCTATTGCAGAGCACAACCAAAAAGACTGTGACTGATGCAGTCCAGTTCTTCCAAGAATGCTTTTTGGGCAAAACTACAGTACCGTATCCTTTAGCAGGGAGGTGTAGCAGAACACAGGAATATCAGAGTGGCCATTCAGTCAAACTGTAGTTTTCCTTCTGGGAGTGGCCTATAGCAATGTCTGGGGGATGCAGTGTAAGTAACAACACAGATTTGGTTGTCCACAGCTTCTGGCAAGGAGTAACTCAAGCCCTGTGCTATAAGCTGCATCTAGAGCAGTGTGTCTTCCTAACCCCCTGAATTCAGTCCCCTTTTGGAACCACTTGTCTGTCTGATGTGCAGAATGTGCTAAGCAATGCAATTCATTCTTCAGTAATACCTCATGTGGGGGAAAAAGTTCCCTTTTGTTAAACATATGCATGCTTTGTATATATGATGCTTAGCACAGGGAGCCCTGAGCCATCTGGGGCCATCTGCTGCTATGAAAGTGTTCCAGTACACAGGATCAGGTATGGAATCAACAGAATGACTCAAAAGTATCTGGAGACAAAACACCCATTTTGTCTCTCATATCATCTCATTTTGTGGTAATACT